CACGATTTTGCTGAGAAAAATAATGATTTTTCTAGATGCTAGACCATTTGTTATCTTTTGCAGATGGTTTTTAAGATTTTTTCCGTTGGATTTCTTGCGAAATTTTGCTTAAGAATTACGATTTCTCATGATAGTGATTTAGAGCAGGCATCAGTCATACGACGGTGGAAGAACGGATGGAGCATTTTCTGGTTTGGACTTCTCCTGGCCTCGGGATGTTTTGCGGCACGTTGCCTGCTCTTTGGTTTCTGCGCTACTTTGGTGGACGTCGTTTCTTTGTTCTGGCAATGATCCTTTCGGCTATTGCAACCGCTCTGTTTGTGGCTGTACCGTATTTCAAATATGGTAACTTTTTGCAAGTAATAAAAAAATACCTTAAAGTTGGGAGAAAACAAAGCAAAAAATATTAAGAAATTAGTAAAAATTGTAGAATATAATGGTAAGAAATGTTTCGGTCCATTAATGTTCAACCGAGTAAATTTTCCATACACAGTATTTTTTGTTTTCGAAAAAAACTATCTAATTTACGTGTGAAATGCTTAAAATGCGATGTTTCTGCCTACCGCTCCCATTAAAAATGGTACTTATTATCGCGTAATATATCAAATAATGATTAATGGTTTTTTGTTCTTTGGACCAAGGACGGTCCAATCTTTCGTTTGTAAGGATATCGCGTAACATATCAAAAACCATTAATCATTATTTGGTATATTACGCGATATGCTTACAAACGAAAGATTGGACCGTCCTCAGTCTAAAGAACAAAGAACCCTATTAATCATTATTTCATATATTATGCGATATTATTGTACAAAATCAAAAATCTAAATTCAATTCGTTTTAAAAATTTCATTTTCGAAATATGCCTGCCCACTGATAGCTCATACAATTAGCAACTAATTCTCTGAACGGACTATCGATGGCTCTGTTTTTGAAAATTGCTCATATAAAATTTAAGTGACATACCGAAGTTTCTATTTCGGATACGGACAGAGTGCGAAACTGCAATTTCACCGGGATATTCTACATCCACGTGTGGTCTAAATGCAGTTTTGCATTGATTTCCCCGCACACAGACATGACAAATACTTAATTTTATCGCAAACTCAAAAGCAATAATTTACTGTTGTAACACTTTCAGCCGTATATTGCCCATAATATATGTATTTTAAATGGATTCCTGCAAATTTTACTATGGGCAATATGTGGGTAGATTAAGAGAAATCCGCTCGGTGTATATGTAATTCAAATTTTTTTCCATAAACAAGCTGATGACGGTTTTGACTTCCTAGCTTGTGCTCGTATCAGTTTTGTACCAAAACAAATGATCAAATCGTACAGAGATTGGCCACCAGTAAAATTTAAAAAAAAAAGAAAAAACGGCCAATTTACGAAAATAACGATATGTACCCATTTTATATAAAATGACGAAAATCTTTATTTTTTATTAAAGAAAAAACTTATTCTTTTAAATTTGAAAAAAAAAAGATTTAAAAAATAAAACTTTTGCTTAATTACGTTGATTTTTAGTTTTGAAACATCGAAGTAAAATAAATATATTTTTGATTCATTGTTTTCGTCTATCCTCAAACTGTTGTAGTTAAGGCAGATATTTGCTGGTTTGCCTTCGATTTGTGCAGGGAGTTGCTTTCGCAAGCGTTTTTCCGATGATCGGCTCTGTGACTGCAAATTGGGGAACCCTCAGGCAGCAGTTTCTGTTTCTGGTCTGCTCCAGTCTCTTCGTTCAGGTTGGTTTCCGCGCACTTTTGAATCACAAGCTTTGATGATAGCTGATCTTGAGAGTATTATTATGTCAATACATTGTTTTTGCTACTTTAGCTGACCTCATACGTGGTGTGTATGTGTTTTTGACATCTGTTTCGCTTGCATTGGAAGAACTGGTCTTTTTCCAGTTCGCTATTAGAGAGAAATTTTTGCTTTTGCGTTCTTCCTCAACTAATTATGCGTTTTTGCTTATATGCAAAAAACACATATTGTGGTGACCTCGGTGTGCGTGTGTGTGTGTGTGTGTGTGTGTGTATGTGTGTGTATGTGTGTGTATGTGTGTATGTGTGTGTATGTGTGTGTGTGTGTGTGCGTGTGTGTGTGTGCGCGTCTGTCCGGGTACTTCAACTCGCCACCCAGGCAAGCTTCGGCGCCAAAATTTTGCGAGTGGGTTTCCCGGCCAAGTGCCACCCCAGGACCGCGGTACCAATCCTTAAGCACGTCTAGGCCTCGCGTACGAGCGCCTCAAAGTTTTGGCAGAAAAATCGCTAATTTGGGAACCAGAAAAGCTAGAAAGCTGAAATTTCGGGATTTTGTTCCTCGTCCATATAGAACTCGAAGGTTTTGAATTCAGCCCCCAGGTGTGCGCGTTTCCCGCGTACGGCCCCGTGAGGGTTCCTGGCGCGAAAATCGCTAGCTTGGGAACCAAGAAGGCTGGGAGGCTGAAACTTTCAGGAAATATTCCCAACTCATCTACAACTTAACTTTATCAAATTCTG